ATGTCTTCCGTCCAGGCCAGGGTTCAGAACACCTCCATGGCCTCTCTCCTGCCATCAGATCAGACCTTCAAAGCTCTGGGTTTCTTAGAATGGCTTCCATTCATCTGCTGATACCTTTGCAGGTTGCTCCCTACTCCAAGTTCTGCTGGCTGCATCCCTAAATGTCTGCCTCTCTCCAGAGATGGGCAAGAAGACCAGCCCATACATGGCTCTGGCTGAGGGTCTCATGACAGCCATCTGTCATTTTGCTAGAGATCTGCCAGGGGAACTTGGAAAAAGCAGTAGATGCTCAGGGCCTGAGCCCATGCTGGGGGAAGGGTCAGCTCGAGCCTGTGCCATTTTTCATTGGAACAAGTGAGCCGGCTCCTTCTGCCCAATGATAAAGTCAGAAGAAAGAAGGAGGAGGTAGCATTGTCGGGTAGTGAGGATTCAGGGATGAGGAGAACTGGAAGAAGGTTGGAGATTTCACAGTTGATCATTTTTTTTCTTCTATTTCTTTCTCTCTTTTTTTTTTTCTGAAGTTGTATCTTGTTTTTTCCTTTGGAATGTAGTCCCTTGTTTCCTCATTTTGTCTATGTTGGTTTCTATGTATTAGATGAAACAGCCACCTCTCCCGGTCTCAGAGTGGCCTTGGGTAGGAGGTGGACCTTGTCCTTTAACCCTGCTCTGGCTCTTGGTTGGCTCTTGAACCTTTGTGATTGTGCAAGCAACCTCATTTATTTTTAATAGCACCCAGCTGTTCAGGGCGAGCCACTACCTGACACGGGGCCAAGGGGGAAGGGGTGTGTGTGTGTGTGTGTGTGTGTGTGTGTGTGTGTCAGTCAGCACCTAGATTCAAACTGATTGGAAGCCAGACCTTCAGACAGCAGCTTTAAAAAAAAAATTTTTTTTTCTTTATTGATTTGAGAGAGAGAAAGGGAGAGGGAGAGAGATAGAAACACCCATGAGAGAGAACATCGATTGGCCGCCTCCTGCATGTCCCCACTGGGGATCGGGCCCACAACCTGGGCATGTGCCCTGACCAGGAATCGAACCAGCGACCTCTTGGTGCATGGGTCGATGCTCAACCAGTGAGCCATGCCGGCCGGGCAAGGCAGCAGCTTTTCAAGAATTCAAATATACACAGTCCAGTGGGCTGGAAAGTGTAAGCCCTGCCGAATACCAGACCAGGCAATCTGAAGGTGTTCCCTGAGTGATAGTTACAAAAATTGGGGCTTCTTTTTTGGGAGATACCAGCAAGATGTATGAAGGCAGAGGGAGAGTGCAAGGATGGTGTCGCCTGGCTTAGGTTCCCTAGGAGCACCTGGAGCCTCCAGATGTGTGCCCAACCCGAAACCTGCCCCTCGGGCCAAAGCCCAGAGCAAGCAAGCAGGCCTCTTTCACGGACAGACTGTGTATTCCCGTCTGCTGTCTGTGCCGCGCCCTGGAAGTGGGAGCCCATTGTTCCCGTCTGATTGTTACAGTCCCATAGGATGTGGGACCCAGGAACTCAAGTCCCCACCTTCCCCTGGCCATTAGAGCCAGGTGTTCAGGGGGCAGCCCTCGGGTGGCAGCTGCAAAAACCAGGGCACTGGACGTGTGTAGAAGCACCCCTCGGGGGGATACTGCGGAGTGTGGCAGAGGGAAAGTGCAAAGATGGTGCCCTGCCGGTGGAGGGTAAAGATGGCACCTGCTGAGAGAAAAGAAACCACAAAGAAGAAAAATGGCACCTGCCAGCGTCAGCTTCGGTAAGGCAGAGGGAGAGCGAGACAATGTCTCCACCAATGCCTCTGTCCCGAGTTTCCCTTCAGGCCAAGGCTCTAGGATCAGCAGGTGAATCTCTGTGATGTAAAATCTGGGCACTTTTCAGAAGGCTGCTTCTGCACTGGGACTTTGGGTCTCAAGGACACAGCCCATTGGCTGCCAAAGCAAAGATCTTGGGGGGCTCGTCTCTCAGCTGGGTGCCTGCTGTGTGGCACCGACCCTTCACTCCCCAGGGAGAAGCTCCGGGCTTGTGTTTCCTTCACACTAGGTTATGGATCTCAGCCTCTCCCGACTGCCTCCCTGTGGGTTTTTCTTGCTTGCAGATGTGAAGCAGCTGCTCAGCTAGTTGTCAGGGTGTTTTTAGAGAATTGTTCCATATGCAGCTCTGTCTGCGGGAGGAGGTCAATTCAGGCTCTTTATGCGTCATCTTGGACCACCACCTCTATCTCTCATTTTTGCTCTAATCTTAACGTTGACTCTACCTCTCTCTGCAGGGAATGCAGATAATTGAATAGTCTGTCTCGGTTCTATTTGGGAAACTTCATCTGGTCCAGGAAGAGATGTTTTTAGCAAGACACCGTCTCTGCACATCACCTGTGAAGTGGCGCTGAGGTGAGTTTATTACTCAGCTGATCCCTGGGAGGCAGTGAAACTGGATCCTGCCTCCTGTTGGAAACCCACTCAGTTGGACCATTCCTAACCCGAGACCAGCCCGCACCCTGCCTTCCCGGCGAACAGAAACCCAGAACAGCCTCGGAAAGAAAAGCCCCCTGCCGAGAGAGCCCAGGGAATTTTGAAAATCTTTCAAGAAGTTCTTCATTTCACTTGGGGGCCTCTATCCCTAAGACTTCGGGGATATGATCTGACACAAGCCAGAAAGCGGGGTGGGGGCGGGGCAATAGCAAAGGGCAGCAGGAGGCCTGGGAACAGAGAGGGAGGGTCCGAAACTCGTGATGCCAGCCTCCTTCTGGGGTCCAAGCCATGTCCCCTACTCTTAACAGGTAAGCCCTGGACCATGGGGAGATGGAAACTGGGGTGATGAGAAAGGAAGTTTGTAAGCATAGTGGTGCCTGTTGATTTGTACATGCAAGAGGGGTCTTGGGTAACCACAGGGCTCAGGGTTTTTTCAAGAATAGCTTCCAAGTACCCACTTGAGCGGGGTTGCGAATGGGGAAGTGGTTTCCACAGCACGAGGAGGTGAGATGTTGATGTCACTCTGGCATAACACTTAGCTGGGTTCTTCTCACCAGACCTCTCTGGTCACAGTTTCCCCCAGCAGAGCAGAAAGTTCTCTGCTGTTCCACAGCTGTTGGAACCACATAGATACGACATCTGCAATGATGCCAAAGAGTCCAGAGTAGCGCAACTCAGCTGAAACCACACCAGGGACGAGCTGTATTCGCCAAGGTCGGCTCTGGGAGTCATAAATGCAGGCAGCTTTCAGACACCTGCTCATTTGAGAGAGATCCGTCAAGGACCCCGATATACACCAGAGAAGGGCGTGACGCCGTGTGGGATATGGGTGTGATGTGCATAAGGAACCTTAAGATCATCTTAGCCTTTGCCCAAGATAATAGGTGTTTAGGAATCTGTTTCTTATGTAAGGAGCTTCAAATATGGAGAAAAGGTTTGTGCATAAGAATATTTATTTGGTCCCCAGCACATTGATAGCAATGTAAAATTAGACCCAATGTACATCATCTACGACATGGAAATGGCCCAGAAAATGATGGCATCTTCACTCGGTTGGCTGTTAGGGAACCTTGACAAACAATACAATGACATGGGACAGGCTTATGTTATAATGATAAGTTTAAAAAAACAAAGATACAAATTGGCATATTTTATTTTTGTTTGTTTATATTTTTAGGTATTGCTGATACAGTATTTTTAAATTATTTATTTTGTAATTAAATTTATTGGGGTGACATTGGTTAATGAAATTATATAGGTTTCAGGTGTACAATTCTATAATACATCATCTGTATATTGTATTGTGTGTTCACTACCCCAAGTCAAGTCTCCTTCCATCACCATTGATCCCCCCTTTACCCTCTTCTACCTCCCCCACCCCCTTTTCCCTTTGGGAATCACCATACTGTTGTCTGTGTCTGAATTTTTTTGCTTAATCCCTTCCCCTTTTTCACCCAGCCCCCAACTCCCCCCTCCCCCCAACAGCTGTCAGTCTGTTCTCTGTGTCCATGAGTCTGTTTCTATCACAAATTGGCTTACTTTAATCAGGACCCACCCCATCTGGGGATGTGGTCAATTCCATATAATATTTGTTTTGGTGGATGCTGGTCCCAGGAAAGCAGGAGAATAGAAGTAGTAAGTAGGAGGTGTCCCCTGTCATATACTCCTTTGGCCACCTAATACATATATATATATATATATGTATAAAAAATATATATATATATATATATTTATCTGCCTTGCTGAAGCAAGGCCACCAAAAATTTGGTTGCCTCCCACACAAAAAGATGGGGGAGAGAGAGAATATGGCCACCTAATAATAAATGACTCCCCTGTCTTCCTCAGTATGGGCAATCTCAGTAGTGATGACTCATTCATTATTCCGAGAGTTCTTGAATTTCCCCGTCTCTGGTCTTCTGCTTGTATGAAGCAAGGTAGGCGGTGCTTTGGCCGGGCCAGTCCTACCTTAATTGGTATGTTCTGGGGCTGACTTGTAGCTTCATTTTCTGGTGGTTTCTTTGGCATCATGAAGAACGTAATGTCTCTTTAGCCTCTGATTTGGGCAATAGTCATTTATAGGACAACAGAAAATACACGAGTCGGTATCACGGAAGGTGGAAGACTAGGAGTTTCTCATCTACAGAGCCCCGGAGAAGAAATGTTCATCACTTACACAGTGTTCGTATCCTTCACACATCGAGGAAAAAAACCCATAGGCGAAAGACAAACACATAATGAAAATAGTTTTTTTCTGACCAGCATCTGTTCTACATCCTTCCTGATGCTAGAAACCTATAGTTCCTTTGAGAAGCCGCTCTTCCCTGTAATCCTCAGACTTTAGGTTTATATGAAATGCATCCGACCCACAATCCAGGATTGTGGCTTGATTAGCTCAAGCAAATCATTGAAACCCATTCTGTGACCACAGTGGTTGGTTAGGAATTGGGATTCTGACCTTAAGTCGGTCAAATCCAAGAGAAGCTATGATTTTTTTTCCAATGTGGACACAGCCTCTCTGTTCCCTGAAGAAATGAACAAGGATTCCAAGTAACACTGGAAGGTACCGGCAGCCATCGGGAACTCTCGCAAGGAAGGAGGATCAGAAAGAGAAGGAAATAGGACCTGGAGCCAGAGCCCCCCACTGTTTTAGTTTTAGAGCCACAGGCTTCTTTATTCAAGCCTCTCTGAGGGAGGCTTGCTTGTTTGCTTTCGTCCTTGAAACTGCCAGCATCCTGAGAGATCCAGTCCTGTATCCGTGCAGAGAAACAGGGTCTGCTCAAAGTAACAGCCCCGGACTGGAGCGTGGGATTGGCTAACTGAGAAAGTAGGAGGGAATTTGGTGGGCACCTTGTTCAATGAAAGTGGCTTTTAAACTTCCTTGTACCTGGAGGTTTGTTAAAACACAGATTGCTGTGCTCCACCTTCTGAAGGACGGAGGAGGGCTCGGAATTTGCATTTCTAACGAGTCCCCAGGTGTTGCTCATGCTGTGGTCTGGGCACCACTGTTGAGAATCGCTCTTACGCAGCATTGCTGCTGTTGGTGGAACTGTGGTCTGTCGTCCGTTGGGTGCTTAGGCCCTGTGCCAAATACTAAGGCTGCAACATTAAAGAACTTGGCAGGTAAGATTCTGATTATTGGAATATAATAGCTCCTTCTCACGCCCTTTGAAGTGGAGGCTACTTTGAAAGGGGCTCATCTGAAGTTGGGAAAGGAAAAAAATAAATCAGCTTTGCCAAGAAAGGCCTTTCCAACCTGTCGACCATCGCCAGTATTTGGAGTCTAGGGCTGTAAACACAGAAATGTCTACCCCAAGCTGAAGGTAGGGGTAGCAGAGGCAGGGAGGGAGACTTAGCAGGAGAAAACCCTTGCATCCCCCTGTGGCCCTCACCCCCCACCTCTTCTAGGAAATATTTGTGTTGGGCATCAAATAGCTATCACTTCTGCGCATTGTTCTACCTCCGCAGGGGCCCAGATGGAGGCAGAGGTGTCTTACCAGAGGGCTAGCCGGTAGGGGTGCAGGGGTGACCATGCTATTGAAGCCTGTGCTAGGAAGCATATATTCCCAACCCCAGTTAAAATGCAAGATGTGGACTGGACAATCTCTCTGCTTCTGTTTGTCTAGCCCGTAGAACTGATCGAAAGCAAAGAGTTCAGAAACCTATTACTTTTAGAAGGATCTTACATCACCAAAGAAACCACAAGACCAACCCCAAATGGCCGGTGATTGCTCAGTACCTAAGGCAAACCCCAGAGTCCTAACTCACATTACAGGAGGCATGCAGCCCCCAGAAAAGGGCTCTTCCCCAGCACATGCGTGTGTCCATGGAGGACATTGCCCAGGGAGGTCAACCAGGAGGCTGACCGAGGATCTCAGCCACATCTCAGACTCTGAAAGGCCCTATACACAGGTTAACAATGCGACCCCCATTCTCCCTTTTTCTTCACAGGGGTCTTTGCTCTACTACTCTGTTCACAACACTTGTATTTCGGGAATGTTGAACAGGTTAACCTTGTTTAGTCTAGGGTTGCTGGACCTTGAGAAACAGTTCAGTGCCGATGAGCAGGTTTTGTTTGTCTCACGATGCTGGAAGCCAACAGGAAGCAAAAGGACACCTTCACTGGTTTCTCTGAGAGAAGGCTGTCCCTCCCATTCTCCTGATGTGCCTTCACACAGCAGAGTTAGAGGAAGGGACCCTCACCCAAGGGGGTTGCCTGGAAGCAGCCTCTGTGTGTGAGAGAGGAAAGCCTTGGACAAAAGGACTTCTTCACTGGTTGCCACCCACACGACCCCGACCAGGGCCAGGGACGAACCGCAACCGAGGTACGTGCCCTTGGCCGGAATTGAACCCGAGACTCATTGGTCCGCGGGCCGAGGCTCTACCACTGAGCCTGACCAGCCAGGGCACAAGTACCCTTCTTGGTGGCACCCATTCGAGTACTGAATTCGCCTAGAGCATGTACAAGTATGATTTGATTTATGAAATATTAATAATTTCAATGTTCCGGAAATGTGTACAGCAGAGCACCTCTGTGGCCGTCCCCTTCATCTCTCCCAGTTTCCCTTTCAACCAGTGGCTCTGATTTGCCAAGTAAACAAAACCAAACTCAAAGCCAGTTCACTCTTTAAAAGAACATCTTTATTATTTCTCCAGGTTGAACATAGCATTGAACAGAAACATTTAATACACATATGTCAGTCTGGTGGCTTTGGCCCCACCTTTGCCCAGAACAAACTGATGACAGTCCCTCAACTGTCACCAATCACAGTGCAAGTGAAGGGGGAGGGGAGGGTGGTGAAGAAGGTGTCCTGAGATCTCTGGGAGCACATAGTCCCAAACACAGTGTGACACTGAAAATAAATTACAAAAATTAAATAGTATAAATAAGTTGAGGTTTAAGTTAGGAGGAGTCCCAGAGTGTGGGTGTTGGCAACCACCAGCCCACAGGAGAGGTAGGGGTGTTTTCAAGCCTCAGGCCCCTGCTTCCAGTTGGTCCACCGGATTCCCTGGGTTCCGCAAAGCCTCCGGCCACTCAGGCGTTCAGCTCCAGGTCGGTGACGTACTCCTGGACCCAGGCCTCACTGGGGTCCGCACAGGCCTGCCGGCCTCTTTTGGTCTGGAAGCTGTGGAGAGCGGTGGAGGGGTTACACTCTGTGGGTCGGGCAGCTCGGGGCCCGCGCACTCTCTCAGGGCCTCTCCGCCTGTCTCAGGCCAGAGAGCTGCTCCCACTGACTCCGGGAGCCCCGCAGAGGACCCGCTGCCGCCGCCTCCTTCCTTCCCTTCCCTCTGGGCTGGGCCTGCGCCCACCCAGACTCCGCAAGCCCCTGGCCAGGTCAGGCCACACCTCAGAGGCCTGGGTCCTGCATCATTGATAGGACATCCCGTGCCCTTGGGCACTTCCCCCCCTCTACCTCCCAGGGGTGGGCAGGCAGACTGGCACTTACATGATACCGGGCTTGGAGCACTGGCTGCTGGTCTCATAATAGTCCGCTATGAATTTACGGGGAATCTGTCGGGAGATGTAGGAGAAGCAGCAGGCGGTCGGGGTGTCTGCGCCAACTGTGGAGGAGGGGACAGAATAAGCCTGAGTCATATTTCAGAAGAAAAGATGAGAGCTGAGATCTAATCCCTGAGAGGGTGAGGGAGACGGAGGAAGACAGCCTTGCTCAGGGCACAGGCTGGAGACAGGGTCACAGAGGCAGTGGGCATCTTTGCCTAGGAAAGTCCCCGTCTCTGTCCTTATTTCTGTCTGTAGCCTTCCTTCTTCCTCTTTGAGTCTCCGTTGTGGGCACTGCTTTCTCTTTGGGATCCAGACATCCAAACAGACTGTTTTCTAACCTCATCTCTCTTCAGGAAATGTCTGGTTCACGAAGCCATACCTCCGCAAAAGAGAAACCTTGGACCTATCCCCTAAGACATCCAAGGGTCCGAGCTCTTGGAGGGACCAAAAATGAGTTCGTTGAAGAAGGACACCATTGCTGACTCGGATTCTACCTCTGGTAAACTCACTTGCTTAGGTCCCTACTTTGCCACCTGTAAAATGGGACTGTTTCTCCCCTGGCCCTCAGATGTGGTGCTAACACCCCTTATAAGATAAAAATACAGGCCTTGCAGAAAAAAGCAAAGATGCTTTATAACCCTTTAAAAAGTTTTCCCAGGGGCTCTCAAGACCACAAGAAAAGATGGTGTGGTCTCATCATAGCCAGAGAGCAGGGCCACCCCCAGCAACAGCAGAGACTCACACGGTGCAGAGAAGACCTGGCTGCAGAGGGCCAGGGTGCAGAGGAGAGCAGCCAGGGCAGCCCCAGGGACCTTCATGATGCTGAGCAGACGGAGTGTGGGCGCGAGTGTCAGGAGAGCAGAGCTGGGAGCGGGCACTCGCTGCTGGCTGTGTCCTTCTGCAGAATGAAGCCATCTCCCTGACTCTTTATAGGCAGCCTGGTGGATGGGGAAATGGAATCTGGGGGTGAGGTGGGAAATTCTTAAGCATAGTGGTGTCAGGCTGAGTATTGCACAACTCAGGGTCTCAGGCGGCCACACGGGCTCAGGATATCCAAGAATAGCTTCTCTGAGCCCACAACTCATGACTTGTTCTGTTTTTTTTTTCTTTCTTTCTTGCATGTGTGTGTGTGTGAGGCAATGGTTTCCCCCGAGAGCAGGAGGAGAAGAAGGGCTATTCTTAGCCAGTCCCTTTCCATAGAAACTATACGTGAACTCTCCGACCTGCAACAGAGCTGAAATTCTGTGCTTCTTCAGCTGCTGTAAGCACGAGGGTGGGGCAAATGAGATGTGTGGTGGAGGGTGGCACAGCCTCGCTGGATGCAAGAAACTGAAGTAAGGAATCCCCGCTAGAGAATTAGGAAGTATGAGGTCATGGTTCTGTCACTTGTCCATTCATCTAACAGTCACTGAATGACTAGGGTCAGTGGGGTTATACACTAGTTGAGAATCATAAAGAAACATTAGATGTGGGTGTTAATATGTAGGAGCCTACAAATATTTATACCTGTTAACACATTTCTAGGGAAGAGTTATAAAGAAACCAACCTAAATATGGAAGCACCTTCAAACATGTAGATATATCTGACCCAGCATCATTTGTAAGCTCTAAAATAAGAAAACCCAAATGTTCCTCAATCAGGAATAATAAAGTAAATTATGATATGTCCACTGGTTTGTTTATTATTAAGCCCTTAAACTGGACAACGTGTAGTAGAGTAACATCAGTTGTAAAAAAGTAAGATAAAAAATTGTACATGGTGAAGAATTGTACAAATATATACACACGTGACAAATATTGTAACCATATATATGCATATATGTAGTTTATGTATATAAATGCTGGACATAGAAAAACTAAAAAGCATTGGAAATAAGTGCCCCAATGCAGCAATAATGCTTATATATGTGTGTGAAACATCTATGGATGAATAATGCTTTTGTTTTTCTCTTTTTTTGGAGTTCTCTCTCTCTCTCTCTCTCTTTTTTTTTTTTTTGAAGTGAGAATGTATTACCTTCCTAGTTAGCTCACACATTCACAGACACATTTTATGGGGTTTTTGTTGTTGTTGTTTAAAAAAGTTTTTTCCTTTATGACTTTAGAGAAGGAGAGGGGGAGAGAGAGAGAAACATGAATGAGAGGGAACATTGGCCACCTCCTGCATGCCTGCCACAGCCTGGGCGTGTGTCCCGCCTGGGGATTGAACTGGCGATCTCCTGGTGCATGGGTTGATGTTCAACTGCTGAGCCACACTGGCCGGACACACATTTTGTTTTAAAACATTTATAACAATACTGATTGGACAGTAGGTTGTAAATTGTTTCATTTTAATTTGAAAAAAATTTTTTGAGAAATATACCAAAGTTTCTGTCCAGTGGCCTTTGCTAAAATAAAGTCGTTTTTTTTTTTAATCCTCACCTGAGGACACTTTTTGCATTCATAGAGCGAGAGGGAGAGAGGGAGGAAGAGAGGGAGAGAGAAACATCCATCGAGTGGTTGCCACCCACACAACCCCAACTGGGGCCGGGGACAAACTGCAACCGAGGTACATGCCCTCAGCGGGAACCGAGCCCGGGTCTTTCCAAACGGCGAGCCGACGCTCCACCGGCTGAGCCAAACCACCAGGGCTAAAATAAAATCTTGTTTTCCATTTCTCTGAACTGTTTTAAGGAACCTGTATGATATTTACATTAATAATGCCAAATTCAAAGCAGTTTTCTTCTCCTATTCTTTTCGATTCGTAATTTCAGTGGTGTGAAAGAGCCTACTCTCTCAGTCAGGTCTGTGTGTGTGTTTCACATTTCATTGTTACATAATTAATAAGCATAAATCACATTTTATAATGAGAAACATATTTAGCTCTTTTTAATGGTCTTTGTCCTCTAGATGCCCTGGTCCAGTAGGAGCAGGTAGAATATATAGACAGGTAACCACAGCACTTAGCAGAAAGTGCTAAGATTCCTAGGAGACAAATAAATGTCGGCTCAGAATACCAGGAGGAGGAAGCAATGACCACCCTTGGGAGCGTTGAGGAAGGCTCGTGGGAGGGATGGAGCTTTGGTTGGGTCTGGAAAGCTACACAGGGTTTGAACACACATGGATGGGGAGGCAGCAGAGGTCCGGCTGACGCAGAGTCACAGGTGTGAAATGCTGGGCGAGGAGGAGGAGAGAGCAGTCGGGATCCCTGGACACTGGTGGAGCAAATACAGACGACGAAGCTAAACTGGGGCCAAACCAGAGGGCTTAGAATTCCCCCAAAGGGCTGGAACAACGGAGGAAACAAGACCTGCAGAGTGAGACCACACCTTAGGAATTCTGTCCTTCCCGTGTCTGTGGAGTTCCTTCTCTGAAAACACAGGGGCTGTGTTTCTGTCCCCTCCCCGGGATTGCTAAAACTGGACTTGAGGGCGGAGAAGCAAAGATAAGAGCAGAAGGACAACGGCCAGTTTCACTGAGGCTTTTGCATCCGGGTGTTTCCCCTTGTTACTGTCAATTCCATAAATAGAGTCTTTCACTTGTTTTATTGGAAACTCTAGACCACAGACAATGCTTCTCCTCGCCCCCCTGCCCCCCGCGCCCAGTCCTCAGATGATACTCTGAATAACATCCCCCCGTTTACTTCTCGGGGGGAACTCCCCTCATACTCGTGATGCAGTTTCTGAGATCAGGCCTCTGTGAGCCGGGGAGGGCGAGAAGAAGGAAAAGGAAATTGCTGAATCGACCACTTTCTGATAATGGACCTTATTCTCTCCCTCCACGATCACAGCACTTGCCACATTGTGTCACATGCATTATTTAGGTAGTTTTCTCTTCAAAAAATTTAGACCTTGTACTGTTGGCTTTAAACCAAATCTATAACATGTCTTGTTGGTGGATTTAAACCAAATCCTAGCACATGGTGATTATAGCATGATGAATTTTTTTGACATCGTTTCTATTTCTTATATTGTTGTTTTTAAGAAAGGTGATGTATTGAATATAAAATTCTGTCTTAGTAATTATATATGTAAGATTTTCCATATCAATCCTAAAGCCAGGAAATAGCCCTTTGTCCTTTGTGTTTTTTCTTGAACTGGAAAATAATATACTTGTATGCAAAGTACGTGTTTACTCTGTGTATTTTGAATGAATAATGTCAGGGAGCCTTGGGATGGTTGAACTGGTGGTGAAGGGTCTTAGAAATGTGCTGGGTGGTAAACTGATGTTCCCAGGTGAAATGATTAGCCCAGGATCATGCAGATAACATTGGTCGGTGCTATATTTCACTGCGTGCGTTATTTAGCAATGTATCTCCAGTGATAACTATACACTGACACATAGTGGAGTTTAATAAATATTTGGTGAATGAATGACTAAATCACTGATTTAGTTAATAGTGTGTGTTATGTCCCAGTCCCACTATGAAGCTAAAACAGTAGCAGGAAGGGATGGGTCAGAAAGGCCATGGAGTCAAGGTCTTGATCTTTGGAGACCGACCAAGCTCTCTTCGGCAGTGGTGGCAGAAATAGCCAGCAGTCAACACCGTGGATTCGTCAGCATGGAGGGGCTTGATTTGTGTCCCAGCTTTCTGGCTCATTCCAGCCTCTCGAGGCCCCACCTCGGTTCAGCAGAGCACCACAGCCACGAGTACAGGGGATTCTGGCCGAACAACCCACGTTCTGCAACATCACTGCCTCGTCCTGCTGTGCTCGGCTTCTTGATGCGTCCCAAGGCCTGGCCCTGCTGGATTGGTTTCCTTTCTCTTTCTGGCCCTGTAGTTCCAGTTCCCCAGGCGCCAGTCTCTGCTCTCTCCCTCCGAGACCAGGGGCTCCAAGGATGGGTTCCCTGAAACCGCAGCCCTGTCTGGCCCAGCTTTGGCCTTCTTTCAGGTGCGGCCAGAGTCAGGTTGCAGCCGCCTTGGCTCTACCTTCCATGTAGGTAGAAACAATGTCCTGAGGTCCCCTTTCTAGCATCCTAGAGAGACCATGTCTCCATGCAGCCCCCTCTCTCTGCTTTTCTATCTTGAATTCTTGTCATTCTCCTCTGGCCATTTTTTGTAGGTGTACAGTAGACCAAAGCACACGTCTTGGCATTGGATTAGATCCTTTCTCCTGTCCCTCTGTTCTTTCTGTATCATATACTCAGTGACAGGCATCCCCTCCTACCCAGCTTCCAAGCCAAAAGCCAGGGAGTCACCCTTGGCTTGTCCCTCCCCTTCACCTCCTTCATCTACTGCCGTCCCCCCTTATCTGCGGTTTCACTGTCTTTGGTCTCAGTTACCCGTGGTCAGTCATGGTTCAAAGCATTAAATGAAAAATTCAGTTATAAACAATTCATAAGTTTTAAACTGCATGCTGTCCCGCTCTGTCCCACCAGGGATGTGAATCACGTCTCAGTCTAGGGTATCCACACTGCACACACCACCTGCCAGTTAGTCACTTAGGAACCGTCTCAGTTATCAGATGGACTGTTGGTATCACAGTGCTTGTGTTCAAGTAACACTTATTCTACTTAATGATGGTTTCAAAGCGCAAGTGTAGTGATGCTGGCAACTGGGATATGCCAAAGAGAAGCCACAAAGTGCTTCCTTTAAGTGGACAGGTATGCATGTAGTGTAGGAAAAAAACAAACCAGGGTTTGGCAAAAGTGGGTTTACATCTGTGAGTACATGAAACGCAAAGTTTACTCTAGTGTTACTATTTATTCTTGTATTATTGTTTATTCTTGTATTATGTATTTATCCATACAAACAACTGTAAGGAAGTACACTTTTCCCCACCCTTGTAGTATACGTAGGATAGTACTATCTGAGGCTTTGGGCATCTACTGGGGTATCTTGGAATGCGTCCCCTGAGATTAGGGGGAACAACTGTATTCAATCACCGACTCTATTGCATTTTGTTTGT